GGGGTGATCTCAAGTGTCTGCATGAATAAACCAAACAAATTGTAAGAGCACCCAAATAGAGGCATATGAAAAACTGGTCAATTATTATAATCGACAGTGTCATACTCGTCGCATTTTATTTGATAAAGGTTTAGTAAATTATGTTGCTGACATTTTTATCATTGCATTAAAATATGTGCATTGCACTATTTGTATATTCACCTATCCTACCGTACCAGGGCCTTCCGAGCACTGGCTTTGCTGTCTCAAACAGTTGTGCTGTGGCACTAATTTCGTTAGGTATGCTCTCCTAAGTATTAAAGTCCTCCCGTGGGACCTGAAAAATTGTTAAATAATTATTGGCTGAAGTGATATGCACGTTTGTAACTAAAACACAAGTGCGATACGATATGGTCTTGGTACTGGTGTGACCTAGTCCGCAATGCGCAGCACGTTATAACTCCCTTTGCTAATCCTGAGGTGCGGCGTTCTATCAGGGCCCATTACTGGGGTCTGCAATCGGCTTCGGACTAGGTGTGGAACCCAACCAAACAATTTTTAAATTTAAAATATCACACGAATAACATATTTTAGTATAATAAAATTAATTAGTAGGCCTAGAAGGTGCATTTAGTTTTATCCACTTTCGCGATATTTAATTAGTTACACACAAGCATGGTTAGAGCGAGTATAGTATATATATATATATATATGTATTAATTATTATAATTATTATCATTCTTTAAGAGATGATTATATTAATTCATAAGGCATTAATTACCAAGAAATACACTGGTCGTACCTGAACTAAAGCAGCTTTCTTCAAAATGCCTCGAACAAATTGTTGCTGTATCAGGATTAAATGACTTGTCAATCCTGTTTATGGCATGATGTAATACTAATAGTAATAGTAATACTAATAGGGCTCGTCTCCACTCGGGATTTTTTCGTAATAGATGGAAACTTAAACTCTTGTTGCGTCCGCAACATGCACCGCAACCAACTACGGCACAGCTTTTACCAAGCATGGTCAATGAATAAGAGAAAGTAATATAATAGTATGACTAAAAACATAAACAAATAATGAAATATGCATAGCAGGCATTGCTAAGCATAGGACCGGAAGCAAGGCCGGACGTGGAGAGTGACTCTAACGGTAACGCCACCTACAAACGCCACATCGGCAGTGGAACTAACAAGTCAGCTATCCATGTGTTGTATATATCTATGGTCGGAGGGACCGCAGGCGCGTTCCCAAAATCTCCGGTAAAGGGGTATTTTTCGCGCGACAAAATCCGGCCCAAAAATTGTAACAAAAAAAAGGGGTGTATTTGACTTTTCACCCGGAGATTTCTTTAAAAAGGGGGTGTTTTTCCTCTCTCTCTTTCATCTTGAATATCATAGAAAACTTTATCAATACCCAAGATCAAATTCCTGCTAGTTTTGAAAGCTCATTCAGGATTATTTAATTTTGAAATGTAAAAATATTGCCCCCTAGTTCCCCTCGATCACTGAACTCTACACTACGTAGTTTAGACTGGTTCGACAGTTTCACACGCTACACTAACGTCACTATGGTTGGAATGAGAGCTCACCTGAGATAGGGTGTACATTGAGCAGTGTTCCGGATTTAGGGGGTCTCCAAGGCAGAAAAAAAACGCAAAAAGCCCGCAAAAGGGGGGTTCAGAAATTTGAGCAGTCCTGAGATAGGGGGGTGCTTTCAAAGGAAGGGAACGAGCATATGCGTACCCTAAATAACACTGAGTGGGGGGGGGTCGTGGGGTGGGAGACTGAGGACAGGCGGCAGGGAAAATATCTGAGGTCGGTAGAAAATTAAGGAGTCTAAGCGAGGGGCAAGAAAGGCAGTGGGAAAACGGGAGGGGATAAAGTTAGAATTTTACAACCTGCAGGCTAGGGCGCTCTCCTAATTATAAACACAGGTGTAAATATAAAAATTTATTTCACAAATCTATGCTGAGATACCCCCTAACTATAATAAATGCATATTCATCAGAAAATATAGCTCCTGTGGTGAGATATTGTGCATGCGCTAACACACTAACGTAGCCAGATTGTGTACTGATTGGGGACTGATTGGCATATGCAGCGGACACCTTACATAGATGGTATTCATCTTGTTTCTTAAGTGAAGTCTACGGATGGTATGTCATCATATAAATATATGCTGGGATACCTGCTCTTCATTTTAAATGCATAATTTTTGCAAAAATATTATTCTTTTCATGAGATATTGCGCATGCGCGAGCACCGTGTCTTGCGCTCAGAACGAAATAAAGCAAATTGCATAATATAGCTTGCTGAGTGAGAGAGGGGTGGGAGACTGAGGACAGGCGGCAAGGAAAATAGCTGAGGTCGGTAGAAGATTTAGGAGTCTAAGCGAGGGGCAAGAAAGGCAGTGAGAAAACGGGAGGGGATGAAGTTAGAGTTTTGCACCCTGCAGGCTAGGGCGCTCTCGTAATTATAAACACAGGTGTAAATATAAAAATTTATTTCACAAATCTATGCTGAGATACCCCCTAACTATAATGAATGCATATTCATCAAAAAATATAGCTTCTGTGTTTTGATATTGTGCATGCGCTAACACACTAACGTAGCCAGATTGTGTACTGATTGGAATATGTAGCGGACGCCCTACATGCAAGGTATTCGTCCTATTTTTTAAGTGAAGTCTACGGATGGGAAATTATGATATAAATCTATACTGGGACAACTGCTCTTCATTTTAAATGCATAATTTTTGCCAAATGTTGTTATTCTCATAAGATATTGCGCACGCGCGAGCACCCTTTCAGAAGCTCAGAACGGACTGAATAAAAAAAACTGCATAATATAGCTTGCTGAGTAAGAGAGGGTTGGGAGACTGAGGACAGACGGCAGGAAAGATAGCTGAGGGCGGTAGACGAAGAAAGAGTCTATGTTGGGGGCAAGAAAGGCAGTGGGAAAACGGGAGAGATTAAAGTAAGAGTTTTGCACCCTGCAGGCTAGGGCGCTCTCCTAATTATAAACACAGGTGTAAATATAAAAATTTATTTCACAAATCTATGCTGAGATACCCCCTAACCATAATAAATGCACATTCATCAGAAAATATAGCTCCTGTGGTGAAATATTGTACATGCGCTAACACACTAACGTAGCCCGATTGTGTACTGATTGGCATATGCAGCGGACACCTTACATGGATGGTATTCATCCTGTTTCTTAAGTGAGGTATACGGATGGTATGTCATCATATAAATCTATGCTGGGATACCTGCTCTTCATTTTAAATGCATAATTTTTGCCAAATGTTATTCTTCTCATAAGATATTGCGCATGCGCGAGCACCCTTTCAGGGGCTCAGAACGGACTGAAGCAAACTTCAAAATATAGCTTGCTGAGTGAGAGAGGGGTGGGAGACTGAGGACAGGCGGCAAAAAAAAGCCGAGGGCGGTAGAAGATTAAGGAGTCTAAGCGACGGGCAAGAAAGGCAGTGGGAAAACGGGAAGGGATGAAGTTAGAATTTTACACCCTGCAGGCTAGGGCGCTCTCCTAATTATAAACACAGGTGTAAATATAAATATTTATTTCACAAATCTATGCTGAGCTACCCCCTAACCATAATAAATGCATATTCATCAGCAAATATAGCTCCTGTGGTGAGATATTGCGCATGCGCTAACACACTAACATAGCCAGATTGTGTACTCGTTGGTATGCGCAGTCGATACGCCGTCATGCAAGGTCTTCCTCTTATTTCTTAAATGATGTCTACTGATGAAATATTATCATATAAACCTATGCTAGGATAACTCCTCTTCATTTTAAATGCATAATCATTGCAAAATACGATTTCTCTCGAGAGATATTTCGCATGCGCGCACACCGTGTTAGGCGTGCAGTGCAGTCTGAGGCAAACTTCATAATATTGCTTGCTGAGGGAGAGAGGAGATGGGAGACTGATGAAATGCGGCAGGGAAGATAGTTGGGCGCGGTAGAAGAAGAAGGAGGCTGAGCGAGGGACAGAGGAGACAAGAGAAATGACCTTGGTCTTTCTGGTGAGAAGTAAAAATATTCCACGTTAATGCATTTTTAATCCATTTTTTACTTGTAATGTCAGCTTCTGGCACGGGGAGGCAGCACCGTCCAGTCATGTAATCGATTGCAATGTCGGCTTCTGCCACGAGGTAGCAGCATCGTCCAGTCATGTATCGTAAATCATGATATATGATAGAATATTATATATATAATATGTATATGATATATGTGTTATATACGCAGGCCCGTAGCCAGGGAGTTGGGGGGTTTGCACGAACCCTTCCCGAGCCCCCTCCACACAAAAAAATTGTGTGTAATAATTGCAAAATCTCCATCGTGCATCCCACACCCTCCCCCCCCCCCCGCTCGGTCGCTATCCTCCCTCGCAAACTGCATGCAGTGCCCCTTCGCTCACTCAGGATACCCATGTAGATTGAGCCCATGAGCGAGAGCGCCATCTGTCGTGGAGTTTGCCTCCCTCGCTCAATCGCTTCGCGCCCTTACAAATTGCCAACATAGAAAAACGAAACCCCCCCCGCAATATAAAGCTGGCTACGGGCCTGTATATGTGTTATATAATATCTATATCGTAAATATATTCGTTATTATGGTAACGCGTCTTTATTATATTTATTCATTTATTTATTTTATTATTTATTTATCAAAACGCAAACATACATATATTTCAGTAAGCTTTCCCTAATCCACAGCTTTCGCGAGAGGTGTGTAACCCAGTGACATAAAGAAGACACTATCTAATACACGCACAATAAGATCGTGCCGTACCCATGATGATGAGGCTATTCCTGCCAATATTTACGCCTTATAAGTTATAGAGTCAGTCAGTTGACAACTGGCAAGTGTTGTTATGTATTTGTGTAATGTCAATGAAATTCGTTTGTATTTTTTTCGTCGTGAATTAGTATTTCACACATTTTTCTCACATTTTTTCTTTGCATGCTGAAAACAGAAATAAACACCCTATAGATGGCAGCACAATGCAGTGTAAATAATGACGCCAGATTCTAGAAACCCAGCATGATTCTCGGAAGATGTATTTTTGGAAATGTAAACAGTTTAGCCGTTTGTGAGACGGGGAATCCCTGTGGCACACCCATTAATAGACTGTAGGCGGTGACTGGGCAGTTTAGTTAGTCTCAGTCATATCGTCACTAATCAAAATTACGTGCCTTGTCGTCCAACATTTGCAATGGAAACGAAACTGTCGAAAGATGTGAGTGTTTGCTACCGTATCTAACTAACGCTCAAGTGGTCGTTGTCGTATCAGGTACTACAGACATAATATCAGTATCAGTAGTGGTTGGTATCAGGTAATATAAACATAATAGTAGTTACAACCTAAAACTACCTCGGGTACATATCTGTAGTACCTGATACGACAACGACCCCATCTGCCTAACTAACTGGTGTGGTAAGAGCACGAAGGGTTGTAGTATTATATCTTGCTGTATTATTCATACCAGTACGCAGTAGCCACTTATTCCCTACTTGTCACTACATCCTGTGTAGGCAGTGCCAGGGTACAAGGATAGAGAGCATGGTTGGTATGTAATTTTCGTGAATTTGGGGGTACACTCTTAAAAATCGAGAGTAGGCCTACTTACACCGCCAGTAGCTAGGGGACACCAAAAAAATAATGAAATGTAAGAATGTAACATATGCTAGTATAACTACTATAAGGTTAGCTCTAGAACTATATAGTCCTTCTCTCCACCACAGGGTGAGAAGTCCAGAGGCGCCTGTGGCAGAGTGAAGGGCTATATAGTTCTAGAGCAAGAATAAGGTTAGCTAGCATAGGATGAGTTAGGCTCAAGGGGTCGTTGTCGTATCAGGTACTACAGATATGTACCCGAGGTACATATATGTACATACACAAAGTGTACCAGACTTGTACTACAGAAGTGTACCCTAACCCGGCCTTACCCTAACCCTAGCCCTAACCCTAACCCTAACCCTAACCCTAACCCTAGCCCTAGCCCTAACCCTTACCCTAACCCTAGCCCTAACCCTAACCCTAACCCTAACCCTAAACATACCTCATATAAAAATATAAACATAATACTAAACAACCTAAAACTACCTCCTAATTATATAAAAATATAAACATAATACTAAACAACCTAAAACTACCTCGGGTACATATCTGTAGTACCTGATACGACAACGACCCCACATCTGCATGAGTTAGGAATAGAATAGCATAGTGCAGGGTTTCTTCTGAGGGAAAATTAGACAAAGGAGGTAATTGCCAGTTTGGGAAAAATGCGCATGATGGATTTGAAGGCGTGATATTTTGATTGGATTTGCGGATGGATTTGCGGATGCCGGGGGTGATCGAGGGCATGGCAATCTAAATATGCCAGAAGCACGTGGTGGTCAGTCTGCACGGAAAACTTCCACCCTCATTGGCCCAGCGGGCCTGTAGAAATGTATAATTCATTGGCCCGCACTAGGTTTTACAGGCCCGAATCAATGATCATCATATTATGAAAAGAGAAACCAAACCGGACCGGAAACCGGAAGTTGTTGCGACCTCTAGCAACGACAAACACGCATGGTGTTGACTAGTTACTTCCCCTACTTAAGATCGGGAATATGATGCCCTATCGGTAAATATTGGTAAATTTTCATGCAAAATATCGGGAATTTCTGTAAATTCTCAGACTGATCATCACATAAAGAAGCTGAAAGATCATTAATAGACCATTTACTCCATTTCACTGGCCCATCGGGCTTGTTCATTTACCAGTTTCATGGGCCCCATGGAAAATTTACTGGCCTCGGATACCGGGCCAGTGGTTAATTTCGCAGACTGGGTGGTGATCTATTTATTTTTGGGTTAACACTATTTTGACAACGGCGGGTAAATACAGGAACATTTTCACAACAGCGATGTTAAATTTGACAATGGCGTTGCTCGATCTGCCTCTTATGTATAAGAAACCCTGCAGTGTAGGATCTCAGTCCGTAATGCGAGAGTTATAGGTTTGATAGTGAAGCGAACCAGGCTGCGAGTACGGACAGACCAAAACAGTTTCGATGTAAGGCTGTTCGTCACACACTGTGTGTGTGCGCACGTGTGCGTGTGCGTGTACGCTCGCGTGCGTGTGTGTGTTATATATGTGTGTGCACGTGCATTATGTGCACGTGCGTGTTTGCACCTAGCTATATCTGCAATGTATTTTTATTCCAGGGTTTCTTCTACATAGGAGGCACTGCGGTGCACCGCCATTGTCAAATTTAACAAGGCTAACGCTCCATTAGGAGCGTTCCCAACTTTAATGTCATTAATATCGTGATATAAAAGAGATATAAAGGGGGGGTGGATTGATATAAATTAGATATCAAGGCGGGGTTTGATATGAAATAGATATCAAGGGGGGGTGCATCGATATCAATTACATATCAAGGGGGGGTTATATATGAAATAGATATCAAGGGGGGTTATATAGGGTATATAGAGGGAGCAAGCAATTTTGAGACTGGGGTATGTTCCGCTTTCGTTTTCGCTGGACTTCGTTGTCGAGCAAGCGAAATACAGAGCGGGCCATGTTCGCTTCGTTCGCTGACTTCGTTGCTCGAGCACGCGAAATACGCGAGCGAGGCATGTTCGCTTCGTTTCGCTGCGACTTCGTTGCTCGACGCAAGCGAAATACGGAGCGGGCCATGTTCGCCTTCGTTTCCTGGACTTTCGTTTCGCTCGAGCAATGCGAAATAACGGAGCGGCGTGCGATGTTCGCTTCGTTCGCTGGACTCGTTGCTCGAGCAAGGCGAAAATACGGAGCGGGGCGATGTTTCGCGTCGTTATCGCTGGACTTCGTTGCTCGAGCAAGCGAAATACAGAGCGGAGCCATGTTCTGCTTCGCTTTCGCGTGCACTTTTCGTTGCTCGAGCAATCGCGAAATACAGAGCGGGGCCATGTTCGCTTCGTTTCGCTGGACTCGATTTCGCTCGAGCAATTGAAATACAGAGCAGGCGCCATGTCGCTTCGTTGTCGCTGGACTTCGTGCTCGGGAGCAAGCGAAATACAGACCGGGCCATGTTCGCTTCGTTTCGCTTGGACTGTCGTGGCTCGAGCAAGAGAAATACAGAGCGGGGCCATGTTCGTTCGTTTCTCGCCTGGACCTTCGTTGCTTCGAGCAAGCATATACAGACGGGGCCATGTTCGCTTCGTTTCGTTGGACTTCGTTGCTCGAGCAGCGAAATAACAGAGCGGAGGCATGTTCGCTCGTTTCGCTGGACTTCGTTGCTTCGAGCAAGCGAAATACAGAGGCGGGGCCATGTTCGCTTCGTTTTCGTGACTTCGTTGCTCGAGAGCCGAATACAGTAGAGGCCATGTTCGCCTTCTGTTTCGCCTGGACTTCGTTGCTCGAGGCATAGCCGAAATACGGAGCGGCGGCCATGCTTTCGCTTCGTTTCGCTGGCACTTCGTTGCTCAGAGCAAGCGAAATACGGAGCCGGCGGCCATGTTCGCTTTGTTATCGCTGGACTTCGTTGCTCGAGCCAAGCGAAATACAGACCGGGCCCCAATTGTTTTCGCCGGGTTCGTTTCGCTGGACTTCGTTGCCTCGAGCAAGAGAAATACAGCAGCGGGGCCATGTTCGCTTCGTTTCGCCTGGACTTCGTTGCTCGAGGCAACGCGAATACATAGCGGGCCATGTTCGCTTCCGTTTTCGCTGGACTTCGTTGCTCGAGCAAGCGATATACAGATCTAGAGCGGATGGCCATGTTCGCTTCGTTTCGCTGGACTTCGTTGCTCGAGGCAGCCGGAAATACATAGCCGGGGGCCATGTTCGCTTCGTTTCGCTGGAACTATCGATTGTCGAGCAAGCGATATACAGAGCGGGCCGCTTCGCTTCGCTTTCGTTGGACTTCGTTGCCTCGAGCTCAAGCGAAATACAGGCGGAGGCCATGTTCGCTTCGTTTCGCTGGACTTCGTTCTCGAGCAAGCGAAATACAGAGCGGCGCCATGTTCGCTTCGTTTCGCTGGACTTCGTTGCTCGAGCAGATGAAATACAGGCGGTGGCCATGTTCGCTTCGTTTCGCTGGACTTCGTGCTCGAGCAAGCCCGAAATTACACGACCGCGCGCCATGTTCGCTTCGTTTCGCTGCGACTTCGTTGCTCGATTAGCAAGCGAAATACAGGCGGGGTAGGGAGGCTTTCCATTTGAGAGACAGCAGCTAGGAATAAACATGTACATAATTTCTTATATTTCTTATTTTAATATATATGAAACCTTCGAATCGAAGTTTACCATTGATATTAATAAGGAAAAAATATATGCGTGACTCCTGTTTCATGCTGTAAATGGTATTTTAGTTGCCATAGTAGGACATTATTGGTAATCCAAAATATCTATAATAACAGCTGGACAATAGTAGGCCTGTGCATTTCAAACAATGTTATGCATTATAATATTATTTATTATGTTATAATGAATGCTATTTAATTACTGAATGTTCGGTTGCGTTATGTTGTGTGTGTTGTGCGACCCCAACAACGAAGTAGCAACCTCCTTGGGAGTAGAACTTGTAGTACAAACAAGGAGTTTTAACATGATTGATTCTATTCGCCTCTCATTCCGTAGCTTCTTGCACCGCTTATGTCATGTGTCGGATGTCTTGTGTTCCCGCGGCCACATGTGGGTAGTGTGTATCTTGGCTGTGTGCATGCTGTGTCCTCAGTTGTGTACGTGTCAGCAGTTGCCTGCTGCTGTCCGTGTGCGGCTGGAATATTCGCGCGTGCTTGTGATGGTGTGTGTTTGTGTGTGTGCGCGCCGCCCGTGGGGTGCAGCGCGTGTGGGCCGGTTTGGTACGAAGTGTGTGCGTGCGCGGTGTTGCATGTAGTGTGTAATAGTTTATATTGTAGGGAATTTGTAAACGTTTAAACGTATATATAGTTGTTTAGCCTGTATCATGTTTACGTTTGTTCAATTATATACTGGTATCTGAAAAACCGTAAATTTTTTTAGTATTTTCGTCAGTCTTTTTACATGAAACAGACACAAAACAGAATGTGTGTGCTGCTGTGATGTGTCGAAGCTGTCTGTGTTGCGTAAATGATATGTGTGCTCCCCCCGTACACGAATATTAAATATGTGTACGTGGTGAGTGCGCTAGATTAATGGTTAAATTTAATAAATATTATACAGAATAATTTCATCACAAATTATTAAAAAAAAAATATTGGATAATAAAATACACAAGAATGTCAAGAAATAATTTAGTACGGTTCCTCAACTGACGGCGGCCGGTTTTCAGTGTGGCAATTTCCCGGCATGTAAACAAATGCAGCCGATTAAATGCAATGTAGCCACTTGTGCCGTGTTACGTAGCGCCGCCTACCGTCACGAAACCGTGTTTAAATGACACATGAAATTGGTAAGTGGTTAGGAACGATATAATTATGAGTTATATTATAGCGAGTTCGCACGAACGAACGCAGGCACACACGACCCACAAAACCGCGCGACCAGGAGGTAAAGACTAGTATTGTATGTGAAAGAAACTTGTGTATGCATTCGCGATCGATCGGAGTTAGTGAACAGATTAAAGTATGAAACCAGGTGGCCCTCGTTCGCTATAGTATAGATTAGCAATTGTAAGCAAGAGAGTGAAGCAGACACAGATAGACTTCTCTGGCGCGCGGCGTGGTGTACACGCCACACACGACACTGTCACAGGTAGCATGTGTCTAAGCCGCTTATCGACCATTAGATTTGAACACATTTGTCAACCAACTGCCTCTCTCACTCTTTACTCTCTCTCACCATCTCTCTCTCTCTCTCTCTCTTGCTCTCTCTCTCTCTCTTTCTCTTCTTCTCTCTCTCTCTCTCTCTCTCTCTTTCTCTCTGTCTCTCTCTCACCTCTCTCTCTCTCTTTCTCTCTTTCTCTCTTTCTCTCTTTCTCTCTCTCTCTTTTCCTCTGTCCCTCTATCTATCGTTCTCTCACTCTACCTCACTCTCTCTCCCTCTAACTCCCCCCACTCTCTCTCCTTCTATCTCTCTCTCCTTCTATCTCTCCCTCTCTGACTCTACCCTATGCCTCTCTATCTCTTCTAACTCTCTCTCTGTCTCCCTCACTCCCTCTCTCTCTCTCTTGCCATCTCTGTCCTTCTTCCCCTCTCACTCTACCTCTCTATCTCTCTCTGTAACGATGTCTATCTCTATCTCTCTCTGTCATTCTTCTCTCACTCGACCTTCTTGTCCCTCCATTTCTCTCTCCTCTCCTCTCTGTTCCTCGCAAGGAAGCGAAACATACCCCTGTCTCTAATTGCTGCTCGACCAGCGAATGTCCAGCGAACGGACGAAATGCCCCGCTTGGTATTATTGCTGTCGCAGCGCGAAGGCTTCAGGTGAAACGAAGGGAAGACGCCCCGCTCCGTATTTCGCTTGCTCGAGCAACGAAGTCCAGCGAAACGAAGCGAACATGGCCCCCCTCCGTATTTCGGTTGCGCGAAGCAAACGAAGGTCCAGCGAAACGAAGCGAACATGGCCCCTGCTCTGTATTTCGCTTGCTCGAGCAACGAAGTGCAGCGAAGTCCAGCCGAAAACGGTAAGCCGAACATGGCCCCGCTCTGTATTCGGCTTGCTCGAGCACCGAAGTCCAGCGAAACGAAGCGAACATGGCCCCCCTCCGTATTTCGGTTGCGCGAGCAACGAAAGTCCACGCGAAACGAACGAAACATGGCCCGCTCTGTATTTCGCTTGCCTCGAAGCAACGAAGTGCAGCGAAGTCCAGCCGAAACGAAGCCGAACATGGCCCCGCGCTGGTATTTCGCTTGCTCGAGCAACGAAGTGCAGCGAAGTCCAGCGAAACGAAGCGAACATGGCCTCGCTCCGTATTTCGACGTTGCTCGCAGCAACGAAGTCCAGCGAAACTGAAAGCGAACATGGCCCCCCAGCTCCGCTATTTGCTTTGCTCGAGCAACGAAGTCCAGCCGAAACGAAGCGAAACATGGGCCTCGCTCAGTATTTTTTTTCGAGCAACGAAGTCCAGCGAAACGAAGCGAACTGGGCCCCGCTCTGTATTTCGCTTGCTCGAGCAACGCAAGTCCAGCGAAACGAACGCGAACAATACCAGTCTCAAATTTGCTTGCTCCCTCTATATACCCTATATAACCCCCCTTGATATCTATTTCATATATAACCCCCCCTTGATATGTAATTGATATCGATGCACCCCCCCTTGATATCTATTTCATATCAAACCCCCCCTTGATATCTAATTTATATCAATCCACCCCCCCTTTATATCTCTTTTATATCAGGACATTAATGACATTAAAGTTGGGAACGCTCCTAATGGAGCACCACCCTGTATTTACCCGCCGTTGTCAAAATAGTGTCAATCCAAAAATAAATAGATCACCACGTGCTTCTGACTATATACATGGAAAATCGTAATGAAATTCACAGCAATGTTTCTTTTTGCGTGCCGGCACACTCCTGTGTCATTACCGATTGCAGCTTTTTCCTCGATTCCGGGAAAGTTTTCCTGTCACTCCCTCATACCAGTGCGGTGCCCACCCCTACATATACAGCAATAAGCATGCCCACGCGACTGTAACAATGAGTGCATTCGCCCCCCCCCCCGGACTTCAATCAATGCCGCCCCAGCCAGGAAGCACAAGCCACGATGTGCACAGCCACAGACGTGGGTAACAGGGGTGTCGCGGGCTGCTTTTTTTCTCTTTTTTTTATTTTGCGTGAATGCGTGAGAATGCGCAGGGAGTGCGGGAGAATGGGTTCAAATGCGTGAGTCTTCTGCGAAATGTGCAGCGTGAGACTTGGTAGGTCTGCTAACAGAGTAAGATTTAAACTAAAAGGCGAAATTTTATTTTCAGGGTGCATCAAATGCAATCTCAGACTCATTTTGCTGGGTGAGACCCCCAGAACCCCCTCTACCTCTCTTCCCCCGCGTCTGCCTGCAGAATCCACATTCGTGCCTATTGCACGCTTTTGAATCCATCATGCACGTTTTTTCCCCAAACTGGCCATTACCGCCGTTGTCTAATTTTCCCTCAGAAGAAACCCTGTATTCTCGAAACATTTCAATTCCATTGATTTATTGATTGCCGTGTGCTTTTCGTGACGCATAGGCAGGCAATAAGACATGGAAACCTGCACCGAACAAAACAGGAAGCACCTACAGTTGTCCGTGGACAGACTGGGTATCTCCGAATCCCCTCGGAGCATCATCATGGAGTATAGGCTGGAAAAGCTTTACTGCCATGGGTAAATGGTTGTTGGACAAAAGGCCTACAATACCTAGAACACAGGTAAGATTTTTACTGCATGTGTGAAAAAGCACTTCAATAGAGTCGTGCTATATCAGTCAACTCCATTACTCTGTATTCTGAGTGTGTCCAGCCACAGGCCATAACAGGGGTAGAAATTAACTTTTGAACAAGGGAGTCCAACGGACTACTCCCTGCCCTCAAAAAGTTCCCTCTTTGTCCGCAGCAAAATGGATAGTAGCCTCTAGGATTTTACTGCATTCAACTGTACTTACTGTATAACAAATCGTCTATACCCACATGTATTTGTCACCGGATACCTAATTAATTATTTACACATCAACGCTACGAAATTTGAACGGCGCCATGACACCCGCGACCGTGCTGCCACCCCGAAAAAGTTGCGAATTTGACAATTCATTTTGCAGGTTACAGACCGAGGGCTATAATCACAAAAGTGCAATTATATTTATACCTAAATGCTATTTAACCAAACGATATTCATTTTAGGGCAAATTTATCCATATTATAACTGAAACTATATGTCGTTTATAAGATATTACAATCCTTCTGCTTTTAAATGAATACATAAGAAACACCCTCGGTCTGTAGCCCTTGGCTGGAAAGTGGTTTTGCGCAACTTATCAGATCGTGCGCTTTCAGTGGCGCCACCGTCGTTGTAATCAAACTGTAGTCGTTAGTTTTAAAACATTTTTTAATAATATTTCTAAAGGTGATTGAACCATGAAACCTTTTATGTAGCGTAATTATAACCTAAATTAGCTGAAAATAACCCTAGAACCTAGAGTAAACTCTCCCTTTAACAATAACGCATGTGCTTATTTTAAAGATTCATGCGGTTGCACGTCTGCCAAATTTTCTTTGGATATTTGCTGAAAAAATACAGTAATTCCGCGAGGCCGTGCTCTGGAACGAACTAGTTAGTGTATAGCAGAATTTTCTGGGAGTCACACGGACTCCTGCATATATGTCAAATCAGGGAGTCCGACAGTAAATCAGGGAAAATTTGACTCCGGACTCGCATTAATTTCGCACCCTGCCATAGCCCTAACCTTATTCCTAACCTCTACCTCTGATCCTCACCTTAACCCAAACCATAACCGTAACACTAAGCCTAACCTTGAGACTCGCTTTAAACCTAACCACACCTGTAAGACTAACCCTAAACATAACCCTCACATTGACCCTTATGTTCACCCTAACCCTAACAATGAGCCTAACCCTAACAGTAACACGAAGCCTTACCTTAAGACTCACCCTATCCCTAACCATAACTGTAAGACTAACCCTAACCTTAACCCTAACCAGGGGCGTAGCCAGTATGTAGCACTGTAGGCCCGCGCCTACACTTTTTTTGGCCAAGTTATCTTTTTTTTTTAAACACCCATAATTCAGATCCATAAGCTTGCTGGACGAGTTTAAGAGTCTAGACAGGAAAAACTATTGAAATGAACGTAGCAAGAATATGGCTAAATTAGGTGACCTATTCTTCTGTCATCTAGGCTGTCATTTCTATCGAGTGCCGTTTCATTCAACACTCTACCCGCCGAAAAAGACTAGGATCCGATCTTGTCAGTTTTTTAACATTTTTAACTCGTTCGTAACCCTATTTTAACTCGTTTGTTTTTTGGGTTTAAAAGTGATATTGAATGAGGTGTCTCAAGTTAGCAAGAGGCCAGGGAACCAGAATGAACACTCGGGAAGGGCCGTTTCTGGCCATCTGGGGGTTTGTAAAACCAAAAATTTTCTTGTACGCTCCGCGCCAACCCATGGTGGCGCTCCGCTCAGATAGTCGTGCCTACAACTTTGAAAATCCTGGCTACGCCCCTGCTAACCCTCACCCTAACCTTAAATATAACACTAACCCTGACCATAACACTTATCCTAATACTATCACCAAACCTAACCCTAAACCTAACCCTAACCCTAACCTCAACCCTAACCTTAACACTAACCCCAAATTCGTGAGAAAAAAACTGAAATAAACAACGAAACCGAAAAAAATGCAAATAAACAAAACCGGGGTAAAAAAACGAAAATAAATAAATACTGGAAAAAAATCGTCATGGTCAATAATTTCGCCGTTTCCCGCAGGAGCTGGACCGGCGACTACCGATACTGCCGATCGACTTCCATACCGTTCTTCAGCCCACAGATGGCGTTAGGGTCACTTGGATCGGCCATGCGACAAGTCTAGTCCAGTTCGACGGGATCAATCTACTTACGGATCCCATGTTCTCGGAGAGGGCCGCTCCGACGCAGGTCATGGGGCCGCCGCGTTATCGCCTGGTCCCTCCCAATCTGTGGAACCTCTTGAATACGCCCGAAATGAGTGCGTGCGTCATCTCACTACAGCATCTAAGGTTTATAGTTGATCGAAATCTGAATGATATCGTAATTTAATGTCATGCGCGCATATTTTTTGTGATAATATAATTGTGATAGTAACCTGTATATTTGTAAAATAATCGCAGTAATAACTCGCGCCAGTTATGATGCATTCTCCATTGCTAAAAGTTAATTGATTTTGAAGTGTGGTTCCTTGTCTTCATGCTGTTCTAGTGCTACTAGTGGCTCATTGGTTCAGAAATAGAAACCCCAATGCGTACTCCTTGCCTTGACGTTTTCAGAAATCCATGCTGTGTTGATAAGCCACAATCATTATGATCATTTGGATTCCGACAGCGTAATTGAATTGAATAGCCGATTCCCGGAAGCCTGGTTCGTATATACATTCTGTTAAATGAGCAAACCTCACATGCAGAGCTAAAATGCGTAACTTTTCGGCTCGCAACCTAATTCCCCACGCATTGTGATCCGTGTTCAACACGATCGTTTCCCGTATAAATCGCAAAAATTGAACACACGCTGAATCGCTGATAAAGATTCTGTCTCGCCTATTAGCGGACATATACTGACTACTCCGGCGCAAAAATGACTATGAGTTTGTGATGTTTTACTTATAGGCTATAATGTAATGGGAAAAGAAATAAGGGAACTATCCGTATTCTCTAACTTTCCTTTAGGCACATTTCTTCTCACCCACTGGTTGTTGATCATCGATGGTGAAAGATCGTTAAATTAATAAAATTAAAATTAATAAAGGTTTTTTTTCTGTAGGTGGTTTGTACCGGAAGGATTGGATTGCTGGTTTAAAGAAAAGGGTTGCAAAAACACCAAGGAGATGACCTGGTGGCAAGAACAGGAACTACCGACGCATCGACATATCAAGATGGCATTCACGCCTGCGCAACACTGGTGCCAACGTTTATCAACCGGTGTTAATCATGTAATTAATTAATTAATTAAACTCCAAAAACCATGTGTATTGGTCTTTATGAAGAAAAGCGAGTGGATGTAAAACCTCTTAAAAATGTCACGTTCTTTGTGTCTGTTTCATACTAATCAAGTATTTTATGTCAGCATGGGTCTGCGCGAATTCCCAAAACTTGTGGTAAACGTACCAAAAAATCCCAAAAATTATTAAATAAAATTCATCTTTCGTGTTAAAATCATACTCTGCATTAAGATCATATTCTTCGTCATGTGTACATGAGATATAGTATGCAATAATTCATCATTGCAGTGGTTATTGTTTATGGATCCTGCTATATTTTAGTTTTGAACTTTTATTTTGGACTCCTTCATTTTGGCAGAGAATATAAGTAAGCTATGACTGTGTTCATGCATCAATCGTGTATGTTTCTTGGATGTTGCGTGACTAAAAAACAACAAGATTCTCACCGATAGTAACCAGCCTAAGCAGAAGGTTATCCCTTGATCAAAGTTCAAATTTCTACCATAAAGATGTTAGGATTATATGGTGAAGATGTTAGTGTCGTCCTCTCGGTTTTCAGTTTTTAGCTCAGCTGACGAAGTCAGATGCAGCTTGTAGAATCGCATGAATGTCTGTCCGTGCATGCGTCCGTCCGTCCGTCCGTCAACAGTTATGGCACAAATCTTTATTAGAAAGTTCAGAAGATTCATCAAAGATGTTATCTGTTTTTGTTTTGCAGGTATTGTGGGGAAGCTGGGCCGTGATTGGTCCAAAACACCGCTTCTTCTTTGCCGGCGATACGGGATACTGTGATGTGTTTAAGTCGATCGGTGAGGAGTATGGTCCGTTTGACGTCGCAACGATACCCATAGGATGTTACGAGCCCCGGTAAGCAAGCCCCGTGAGATCGTAGCATCA